TTCGAACCGAAATTATCAAGCTAAACTTTGAGTCGAAATCAAATCGAACTTTGATCAAATTTTACGAGCGTCCATACGTGATTTTAATTATTTTATATAATTAAATATATACACGCATATACAATGGACAAGAATACATTAAAAATAGCTTTTGCAGCGTATTTATTTAAATTATGCTATAAAATAGACAAGACGAAAGAGACGTTGGTGGCAAACTTTGATTTTCCAAACGGAGAGAACAGAGTTTATTCAAAGACATAAAATTTCAAGAAAATAGTGGGCATTTCAAAAACTTTATACAAATGCCAACAACGCTCGTGAAATTTGGTTAAAGCTCGATTTGATTTCGAGTCAAAGTTCAACTCGAGGCTCGAGGCTCGGTTCGTGTTTTGGCTCGATAATCTGGACGCAGCTTTATAGAAATAATTATTTTAATATAACATTTCACACAATATATACCAGTATAATAATTTATTTTATTATACATTTATTTAATTATACATTTATGGAAAATGTATATATAAATTAATTTTTTCTTTTAGTATACAAAATATTTGTAAATATAAATCCACTAATTTGTTTTTTTCGATTACTTCAATAATTTCCAACGTTTCCACCATGGTGGAAGTATAATATACTTATATACTTATATTATACTTCCACCATGGTTTCCACGCCGTACCGTCGTCATAGTTACGTAATATAGATATGTATAACATGTTGATTTGAGCTAAAGAGATTTGTCGATTATACTTGTTAAATCTACTAACTACACATCAACATAGATAGTAATCCTATCAATTTTTCTTCAAGAACTTAATTATTTGAGAGATACATTTTTTGAGAGAGTAATGATGTGCTGACATGTAATGATAAGAATGCACGTCTTTTTGGCAATTAAAAAAAGTGTCTTTTGTATTTTTAATATGTTAACTTAGTTAAGTGATAGAAATGGCTGAAGGAAAGGAGACAGGTGGAACTTCGGACAAGATACATGCAATAGAAGGATATAAGGACTATTCGTCACCGAGAACATTAAAAACGTTGCAATTTCCAGAGAAGCAGCAATTAATACAAGAGTCTTCGTGGACGAAAACTGTTCCATACAAACATTGGCATAGTTATGTGAAACCTACCGACAGTATAGGTAGTATCTTTACACCTGGTGTGCATACATATCGAACCAGAACTTTAATTAGACGCAGTGTCAAGCCTGTACGATGGCATCCTTTCGGTACCGACGGTATGCTCGTGAGTCCGCCTCGCATTTTCATCGAACGATACAACGAAGAAGTTAAACGAAGAGCCGCAGTCACGGCCGAGAAGAAACGTGACACTTTGCCAGAAAATATAGTTAGTCTGAGGGATCTAATAGATAACACGTGGTTGCAGAAGAAAAATCAGAAGGCGAAAATCTTAAAGGAAAAAGAGTTATCTATACGTAGGAAAAAGATAGCAAAGCGAAGGTTGGATCGAAAGGTAATAAAAGACGTTTGCGTAAACCGTACAAATACTTTGAATTAAAAAATTAAAATTTTTTAATTTTATAATTCAAATAACAAATTTATATGCTAAAAATAACATACATATTATAGATAGTACATTATATTGAGGCAGAAATTCCGAAATCTGTAGAAGAACAATTAGCCGAGCTAATGGCAATAGTTGATGAAGAACAGAAGATAAAACCTGAGGATGTTGCTAAAGTAGTTTATCTGAGAGATCATTGCATAAGCGACCATCACCTGCAGCCATATGATTATATTAATATTGATGCAGCAAAGAAGCGTATCATTGGTAAATTGCAAGAACGTGAAGAGTAAGTACATGTTATCGTATTTACTTATTTATTTTTCTATGCTATTTTATCTCGAAAATAGTTCCTAAACTCAAATTGTTAAAACATCACTCATTGCAATATACTAGTTAATATTGTTTTATTTATTATAGTTTCCTGATATTTGTCCACATAAATATATTTACAACGATCTCATATTTTACCAGAAAATAAACAATAAAAAAATTAAGAATTATAAGATTTAAAAAATAAAAATTTTATATATAAACTAAATAATAAATATATACAAGTACATTAGTATAATTTGTTAATTAAAATACAAAGTATAATTTTACAGATCATGCTGAATTTTGAAAATATTTTTATGTGATTCTTACAGCTTTGACGCTGTAACGAAAAGTTTGGAACCGGAAATATTTGATGACTATAAACGAAGTCTTCGTAGCGCGATAGTGGATTATATCCTGATGGATTCTGATGAACGAAAACGTTTATCTATCGAAACAGTTCCTTTGGAATTCCCTGTTTTATGCGTTCGCGCGCCTATGCCCTGGCATCAATCTAAAGTCATGGCAAGTCATTCCATGCAACATAATCTTTTTATAGGCAATGAAATATTAAGAGACATCCGAGATCTATGGTTTACAAAGTAAGATTATATGAGAGGCTAGCCAAAAGATCCAAAAAAGTAACTTGTAACTGTAACTTCGTTACAAGTAACGAGTTACTTCCATTCCCTGAGAAATGTACATTATATCCTGAGGTTCCTGAGTAGTAGTGACGGCCATGTTGGAATTGTGACATTATGGCGAGAAATGCACATTCATTTTTGCGTGCCATTTGTAAATAAAGACAACTTGGATTAATGACGAGATCGCTTAAAAACACTTTGTAAAAATAAGCGGAAACTGTTCTTTCCTCCTTTGATAGTCAGTAAATGGTCGTAAAGAACACAAAGTGAGCCTATACTGGGGCAGAAACATAGTTTAACAGCTAATGAAACAAGTGATATATGCTTTTACGTATAAAATTTCAAGATAACTGTAGTTTCTGCCCATTTTTAGGACTTTCACGAGTACGAGGCTAGTCACATTTTAACAAATAAGCAAATATTAACGAAATGGCACGCAATATAAATTTTGTCGTCAAAACTTTTCCACGCCTATTAGTTTAGCCTTTTACCATAGCGAGGCACTACATACACACACACACGCACAAACATGAGCCCATATCTATGTGCTCGCCTTCGACCGAAAATGAGCACACGGACATGAGCTCGTACTTGTATGTGTAACTACCAGTTTTATCAGGCCGCCGACTAATTCGGTGTCGCTATCATCAGCACGCGGGGTTCTTGGCTGAGTACTCAGGAACCTTAACTCATGTTTAAATAATTTAAAATACAGATATATTGCTTTTATTGTCAAAAACAATTTTCTCCGTTTTAGATACCGTCAAGTAAGAATAATTCACATGCAAGATTTTGGCGTGCTTCCCGTTTTGGCTGCAGAAATTGAACCGAGACTCGATGCCTTGTGTGTTGCCGCCACTGATGTTCTCATTAAAGAATGGTTGGCCGATGTAGCAGAAATTTTTCTTGAAAAGAAATACTACTGGTCGCAGTATTTTGAAACGCAGTCCAATGCGTCCACTGCGATGATCGAGAAATATTTTCGCAGCGTCAATTCTTTATTGTCAAAGCAATTGCGGATTATGATAATAAAGACATTAGAAGATGTGAAAGACTTCTTCATGCAGTACGAAGCTGGCAATGCTTTCGAAGGAGATTATAAGGATCTCATGTTTCTCAAGTAAGACTCAATTCCTCCTTAATACTTACATACAGAGTGTAATCGAAATTGCTATCTTTTA